AGAAATGATGGGGTATGGGAATAGAAGGGTAATTATTTCGTATTCAGTGCGTTCAAATGGACGGCACATCCAATTGATTATTATCGAATCGGACAAACGAGGCTGTTTGATCGAATTTCTTCGACCGTTCTCGTTTCCTCGTGAATTGATAACGTATTGTACAGTTTGATCAACATTTATTACTTTGTCCTCCGATAAACATATTGCATTCATTAAAAATTGTGGTATTAAAGATTTATCTCTCCTTATTTGGATATTATTAATCGAATTCTAATTGGAAATGGATTACTTTGCTTTATACGATATTTTTAGCGTTAAAGTTAATTTAAAAATTGTGAAGAATCTTTTCCAACATACAAATTGAAATAATTAGAAATGGTGAAAAATTCTAATGAATGTCATCGATGGTGTTTTTCCTATTGTTTAAACTTCACGAGTGGATGGTAAAACATTCCATCCTTCAGAAATGGAACGCGCAGCAAAATTGGCGGAAGGTAAACTTGGTGAATCGGAAGATTAGTTAAATAAGCGAGATCTTATATTTACCTACCTTAATTACTCGTAACTCTAACGAAATCACTGAGATTAAAAACTGTATGAAATACTTTTTATCGAGTTTCTGGGAATAAGAAGAAATTAAATAATAAAATTACCAGGAAAATAATAAAATTAATAAAGCTGCACGAAAGTAATTATTTAAGTGTAAATAATTTATCTCTACTAATGTTTCCACGTAAAACGAAGACTGATTTTTGTTGTTACTTATCGTACTGTCAATACTGAAATAAGTATTTATAATGAAAGTATAAATAAATTTATTTAAATAATGTTAAATTTTGCTAAAATATCCGGTACCTTTCAAATAACAAATTATGAATCTAACATCAAATTATATCACCAGTTAGTAAAGAAACCCTTACCTCTTTGTAATGAAATGTTTGCAGCTTGGGAACACCTAATTCTAGTACATACCTTTAAATATGTTAATTTTCCTCACTTTCTTTATTTTGTCCTACATGCAGTATTCGAAAAATGCCAACATCAGCCAGAATGAAAATTTAATTTAAAGAAATAAGAAATACATATTATATTATATCTTATTACAATATTTTATTCTTCTATCATCTTCGAAGAGATTTTCATGATTAAGGAGTTACGTGTCACGAAAGGCCAACGAGTTCCAACTTTAATTTGAAGTAATACAAATACGAATATATCCTCACTGTCAACCGGGAAGTCCAGGAACTCCTTAAATTTGAAAAAAACGGGATTTAGCTGGACTTTACAATAAGCTGCTCAATGCCTACTGATATATCCGAAACGAACGAAATCCCGGTTTTCAGGATCGAATATTTCAAATCCACGCAATCGCGTGGCTCGATAAGCTGTTCCGAATCGAAACGTTGCCCGTAGGTTCAGGGGTGCAAAGGTCGTTAGCAGAGTTTCGAGCGGTGCATAGCAATGAGCCTTGAAAAGAGGGTAGAAAACCTCCTGGGAATCGAAACACCCGTTACATGGAAACTCGTACGAAACGAACGGGCTGCAACACCGAGGGGCTAAACTGACGCATGCCAAAGCAGTATAATCGAACTCGTTACCGAGCATTCTCTGGATTCATTTCGTGAGTCGAATCGAGTATTGCCTATTTTTGTTGACTTCGTCGCGTCCGGAAATCTGTAAACGACTTAAGCTTGATCGTTGTGTTCGTTGTATTCTTTTGTCATATGATTTGATTGTTTTTCAATTTATTCATATTTCATCACATCTAGTCATGTGATTTGATGGTATATAAATTTTTTCTAATTTCACACGTTTAGTCAAGCGATTTAATTGTATTTCAATTCTTTTGAATTAAATTGACGTATAAATTAGTTAAGTAAATTATTTTTTAAAAATTAGAAAAAGCAATTGATAAATAACAATTATTAACAATCAAGTAATTGCAACATTATAGTAGTAGCTTAAGCTTCATGGACTAAAAAAGACATACCAAACATTCTATATTGGCTACATAAAATGTGACAATGTAAAAATAGAACAGCATTGCCAGATCGAAGGAGTGATAAAGAATAATTACTTTCAGTGGAAACACGCAAGAGGAAAATGTGTTCAAAGAATGCCGCCTTAGGGTACGGCAGCTATAAGTTCAAATCGATAATTTTCTTCGGCTTACTCGATTACCCTTGTCTATTCTCTTATAAATAACATTTCAGAAGTAAAATTATGTAAACAATCAAACGGTCATTGATTAATTAAACACAATTCAATAATACTTAAAAATATCATTTCAAAAAGGGTGTATGATGTTCTTATTATAAAAAAATCATTTTGTGAACTACATTTTTTCTAAGCTAAAGACTACATGTAATATGGAAAAGAATATAATTTTCTCTTAAATAATTCATATTGCTTTTATTACCAAAATGTGAATATTATTAACCTTTGTGCATGAGATTTTTTAAACTTTTGTAAAGCTTATTAATAATAAAGCTCCGTTATGCATTGAAATTGTAAGTACTAGAAAAGAGGAAACTATATGTCAGTTTTTCGCTACTCAAATAATTTAATTATTCGTTTGTAGCTTTTGAATTTAAATATTTAAAATCAAAGTCTCCATTATAGTGGCATTCAATCGCAAAAGGTTAATAATAATTATAGATATATGCACAAACATTTCGTATCTCAAATATCTCTCTTACCTTGTCCACCTAACATCCCTTGCTGCCTCTCACTATTAAACACTTCCTTCTCTCCTCTCTCTACCCACACCCTCTTTCCGAATTTCTATCTTCTTTTCCTATTTCTACACACTTCCACTTTCTTCTCAAATTCACTCATTCTCTCCTCTCACTCTCTTTCCCTTTCTTCCTTTCACTTCCTTTTTCTCAA